GATATCGTCCTCTTTTGGAAGACCAAACAAAGTAGTTTCGCTTTCACAACGAAGCACACAGCACCTTCAAGACATGGCGGCGGCGGCAACAATACTACAGCGAGAATAAAAGTTACGCCTTCTTTCTTTTCGTGAACATTTGGGCGGCGTTATGCAAATCTTCCCACATAGTGAGGTAGATATGTGGGGGCGTGTACGAACGAGCAGTTTTAGGTTGGCTGACTCTTAACTTTTATAAAGAATATCTCTTTGGATTTGAGACTTTAGTCTTTGCAAATTTACAGATCTTCTTTATGCACCAAGAGCTTGTAACACTCCAAAGAGAAATGAAAAAATGAAATTGCATCATATGACCCCTTTAAAGGATCTATTTGTAGAGTCACCTGATTGCAAATGTTTTGAGTGATTTGTGTATGTTTCTGTGTATGTAAACAAATGTATTTTGTTTTATGTGGAACTAAATGTGCTGCCTGTCTTGGCCAGGACCCTCTTGTAAATGAGATTTTAAATCTCAAGAGTTTTTACATTTCCTGGTTAAATAAAGGTAAAATAAAAATAAAAAATTACATGAAATTGCTTTTTTTTTTTTTTTTTTTTTACAAACACATGCATAATTTCTCAAATTAAATTTGACTTATTTTACATAAGTAAAATAATACTTATTTGACATAATATTTAGTAAAGTATATTAATCTGAAAATTAATAAATACGAAAAATCTAATAAAACAGTGAAATTAAGTGATTTACTATTATCAATAGTATAGTGACATATAAAGCATTGCTCACAAAGACATTTCATATCAAGCCGCTTTCTATTGGTTAATATGCATGACCGTCTAAAATCTGTGTATTCCTTTACTATGCCTTTCTGAGCATTCGCATCTTCAGTTCTGCATTAGCATTATGTTTGTTTAAAATAAGTAGTCCTAAATCTGTTTGTCTTCAAGTCATACAGTTGAATAGGTTGCAACAAAATTGACTGCAAAAAATATCAGTAGCTCACAGAAAACTGCATCAGCTCTGAAGAGTCTTATGACCAACCACTAGGAATCCAATCCCACACACACACACACACAGACACACACACACACACACACACACACAGACACACACTCCACAGAAACGGATTCACAGCACAATCACACAGCGTTAAACACCATCCTGCACAAGAGCTGGAGAGGAAAGGAAATGTTTTCCCTAACGCAGCACCTGACCCACATTAGTTCTCGTCATATCATGTTGTTTCATAAGAAATGGCTGAATATATCTTAGTGAATATCATCATACCATCATAACATATTTAATACAACTCATACAAATAAGAGCTCAACCTAACCCTTTAAGTTTGCACTATGGTCATGAATGACACCTCATATCATCTGTCTTGTTGAGGAGACCTGTGCAATTATTTTTCTAAGTGATGGTACTTGCAATTTTCATCTGACAGATGATGAAACAGAAGAAAACAATTGAAAAACAGACCTTAGGAACCAAAAAAATATATATTACCATGGTATCATGTCCAAATAAATCAATTTAATATATATTTTTGCATATATGAATTACAGAGCTATGGCTTAATAATCAAAGTTATTATGCTCCCTACACTCTCAGAGCAATATCCTTCCCAGTATCCTCACACAAGAGATCCGACAGTAAATAGGAGGCAATCAAGCGTCTCATTAGCTCTGATGTGATTCATACCTGTGAGCCTCTGTGACCTTCATCACCCTCCTCTTCCTCGGCTGCTGAGTGCAGCTCACAGTAGAATCTCCCTGAAGACAAATCAAATTCAACAACATGTTCTGGACTGTTAATATCAAGGGCTGTAACATAGATTTACATGCTTTCTTCAGACAAGGGGTAAATGATTGAACAAGCCCCACAAGCCAGGAGCATTTAAGATGATCTATTATTGAAGGTGTGTATAGGTGGTTGATTGTAATTAGACATGTGTTGTAATAATTAGAACCTAATAAAACAGCATTCCACACCGTACAAGTTATGAATAGCTTTAAAAACTTATGTAATAATTTACATAACATCAAGATGTTTCAGTCCTTATGACAGCAGATGAGAGACAAGTGCATGATAGATAATAAAATAAACTGCATTACGCAACATAAGAAATATAAAAAACAACGCTGAAATATTTATTATAATTCAGAAATTATTCAATTCTATACTGTATTTAGGCCTACTTTTACCTACTGTTACTCATTGATCTACAAAAATAAAATATGAATAAAATAAAGTATAAGGTAAAATAAAATGAAGTACAATCAAATAAGATGAAGAATAACAAATTACAATAAAATGAAATACAATGAAGCATAATAAAGTAAAATAAAATGAAGTAAAATAAGCCTTATTAAACTTCATTTTATTTTACTTTATAAAACTTCATTTTATTTGACCTTATTAAGGTAAAATAAATATTATACTTCATTTTATTTTACCTTAATAATGTAAAATAAAATGAAGTATGATAAGGTCAAATAAAATGAAGTAAAATAGAGTAAAATAAAATGATGTATAATAAAGCAAAATAAAATGAAGCATAATAAAGTAAAATAAAATGAAGCATAATAAGGTAAAATAAAATTAAGTAAAATAAAGTAAAATAATAATAAAAAATAAAATGAAGCATAAATAAAAGTATAATAAGGTAAAATAAAATAAAAAATGAAATAAAAATAAAATAAAATGAAGCAAAATAAAATAAAATAAAGCTCTACTTCTCATCAAGGATTTTTGGTATGACCATGTATCCCAGGCTTACCCGTGTCGGAGTGAAAAGTGTATCCGCCCTGCCGCAGAGTGGAGCCGCACTGATAACAATTGAAACAACTGCGATGGAAGAACTTGCCCTCTGCACTTCCTCTCTCCAGCACGTACAGATGCTTGTTGCAGAAATAACAGAGCTCACTGCCGCCCACCTCTGATGAGGACACTGGCACCACAGGCTGGAGATATGAAAAGGTTTAAGATACTGCACATTAGGGCTGGGGGATATGGCCAAAACAATTATCACGATAATTTTTTTCATATCAGTCGATATCGATAATTATCACAATAAATGTCAAATCTTTATTTCTTTCAAGTTTAAAGCCAGATTTTTGCTCCAAAGTGAAAGTTCTAGAAACCAGACCATTAATTTTCCTTAACAAAATAAATATCTAAATAGAAAAATAAATTTCTTAGTTTCTGCATGTTCTAATGAGTGATATTGTTTCAAATCAAGAAACAGGTTTGGGTTGCCTAATAGACCAATTTGGAGTAGACGTCACAGTTACGTCACTTGCAGCTGCACGCGCATAGTGGTAGCAGAAAAACACTGGGAACAAGTGGAGGGAAACGGGTAAAATCCATGGAATAAGAGAAAAAAATGTATTGTTGTGCCTTTGGATGCAGAATCGGAATGCAAAAAATTTTTATATAACACTGTCTCAAAGACGCCATTTTAAGCTAAACGCAGACGTTTAAACGGACAGACTATGGATGAAATCTGCTATGATTACCCTACTTTTAAAGCATAAATTTGATTTAAACAATAGGTCTATATAATATTTATATAGGGCACATATTGTATTAGCCCTACAATTGAAATACATGCGTGAAATACTATTTAAACCTATAACATTTACCTATTTTATCTCACACTTCTGACTTATTTTCTTGCTAATGCACAAATTGGTCTATAATATTAATAATAATTATATCACTTTTTGTCTCTTAGAAATGCACATTTGATAGTAGCTTGAGTTAGGACGCAGAAGCAAATTTTTGTTCATTATCAAAATCAGTTAAAGGGGTCATATGATGCTTTTTTAAAGATCAATTTTAGGTAGCCTATTTGTATGAAAAACAGTAGTCTAAAAACATTCAGTATAAATGCACACATGCTATAGCTTAATCACAAATACATACTACAATTATATATCATTACTCCTTTAATAAAATTCAGTGTGAATATCCCAAATTTCTGCCACAATACCATTGGTGCAGTGAGTGTTACTACAGTAAATCCATGGTAAATGATGGCGATTTGTAGATTGAAAAGCCTTCTGACTGTCTCGTTGCACACAGCATTTCTCCTGTTTGGCTTTAAACTAGTTTAAATCACCGAGTCATTTGTGTTCATCGCTGCATTCAAGCACTTCACACTGGATCTCAAAGCGCTGCTTAATGGTCGCGTGACCGAGTAAAACGCATCTGCTCTAGTGAGCTCGTGCCGCGCGGCTGTTTGAACTTTGATCAGAGCGGATAAATGGTCCGTGGGGCGCGATTCAAATAAGTCGCGCGGTTTCGTTCCGCTTTTGGGGCATAAACATTATATCGAACATTTATCGCACTCTTCACATCGAGGGAAATTATATCGTGATAATTATCGTTATCGAATTATCGCCCAGCCCTACTGCACATATAATGAATATGAAGCAATGCATTACAAGAATCGACTATTCATATATATCTCCATACACACACACACACACACACACACTGCATTGCAATAGCACTCTTGCACCATTTCATTGAGAAACTTTATTTCACCACTTACTTTTTCCTCTTTCACATCCTTATCCTCTTCTTTCTCCTTCATCTTTTGCTGTCTTGGTCCTTTCTCCGATGCCAGTCTGTCCTGAGAGACAGGTCACATGGTCTCATTTACAGCTCAGGTTACGTAATGTGGCGACAGCAGATCGACAGAAATAAACAATGATTTCACCATTATCCTGCACTGCAAATGCACAGCAAGCAAACAGTAGCATCCTTTTGGTCTCATCCTTTTATCATTCGTTTAACTTCCTCATTGTAGCGACAGCATGGGAGTAATTAGCTTTGGCAACAGTTGTGTGTGTAACGGGGGCATTTAGTGTTTTCCTCAATGCTGTGGTTCATTACGACAGAGACTGCACATGCTCTATTTCTCCCAACACACTACACATGATCTTTGACAGGCACTACTGCTACAATGTCATCAATAGGGGGGTTGTTTTACATGATAACAGGCAGGTGTTGGAGTACCTTGCGTCTTTGGAGGGAGTTGCGCTTGAGCGTGTTGAGGAAGAAGGCGGCCGAGCGGGTTCTGGACAGCGAGAGGGTCTTGTTGTTGGGTGAGAGGCTGTTGGAGCACTCTGAGGAAGACAAGAGGAGCGAAAATAGTGAGATGCAAATAAATGGAAATAGATCTGAAGAAATTAGTCTTCCAGAAATGTTTCCACACGTATATCTGAAGATACATGTTAGCTCACGCAGCGCTAAAAGCAAAGTACAATTGTATAAATTACAAAATAACTTAATGTGACAAAGAAAGAAAAATGTTATGTAAAAGGAAAAAGGCTTAAAAATTTTCAAACCAAAAATAATGACCAAAAATCGTAAAAAGCAAAACATTACACATAACCTGTCCAAAAAACATGATCTATTATTTAAGCTTTTCATATTGCAGCAAAACCTTATTAAATGAAAACAAATAAAAATAATAATAAACGCTAATAAAAACAAAATCCTAAAAGCACTGTATTTTATGTTGTTCAAATATATATATATATGAAATAAAAAAACAAATAAAAAATATAAAAATACAAATAAATAAATCTACTAATAATCAATAATAAAATAAAAATCTTACAATCTTAAAAGTACTGATTTTGTTGTTCAACAACTCAAAGCAATAACAATATAAATAGTTAATAAATATCTAAATACATTTAAAATAAAAACAAAAATGTAGTTCAAATTTTTTTTTTGAAATGAACAATTTTAAAACAAAATAAAAATAAATAATTACATTTAAAATAAATTTAGTACAAACATTGTGAATTGTAAATTAAACGTAAATTAAAAATGCTTAAAATGTATTCAAATCCGGAACATTATAATGACCAAAGAAAAGCATAATTTATAATCTCTTTCATAATCCAGAACAACCTTACAAAAATGGTGCATTTTAGATGTAATTCGCTAGATCGCTTCAGCAATACATGGCAACAAATAACAAAATATAATAAAACAACTTCCTACCCTTGGAACTGGAACAAATACACATTCAGTCACACATCACATTCAATATGCGGTTTGCAGTGTTGTGTTAGAGATGAGCTGTATTGGATCCCACCCCCTTCCCCAGAATTCACACATCCACAGCCTGCGTGAGTGACAGCTCAACCTGGAGCACATCTGTGTGAGATCCCCTCCCAAACACAGCATTCAACAACTAAACGCTCAATCCCGCCGCCTAAAGCCCCTCTAGTGGCTGCGGTTCCTCCTCTGCAGATGCCGTTTTGTAATCCGTCTCATAGAGTGGTGCGTGTCGAGGCCAGACTGAGATCCACTCCCACCGATTCACCCATAAGCAGCTGATTTCTCCCCGGCTGAGTGCATTTGCTGCTGCAGCCGCTGCTGTCAGACTACAGACTACAGCAGAATACTGCCCATTCACAGCAGTGCATGCTGGGAAGGGGTCTTAAAGAGACAGCAGCACTGATAGCAATTATATGAGCTATCTTAGACATTCATCAACTTGTTTCTCTTAGATACTCTAAAAATGACCTTTTTTTACACTTGAATTTTCATACAGATCATGCATTGAAACCAAGTTGGAAAATTCACAGTTGAGAAATCGTGACAATATTGGTCACAACCATTAGCATGTTAACATACACTACTGTTCATAAGTCTGGGGTCAGTAAGATTTTTTTTTTTTTATTAAGAAATTTATATTTTTATTCAGCAACGATGCATTAAATTGATCAAAAGTGACAGTAAAGACATTCATGTTACAAAAGATTTCCATTTCAAATAAATGCAGTTCTTTTTAACTTTCCATTCATCAAAAAATAGGTATCACAGTTTTTACAAAAATATGAAGCAGTACAACGGTTTTCAACATTGATAATAATTAAAAATTATTCCTGTGCAGCAAATCGGCATGCATATTAGAATGATTTCGGAAGGATCATGTGACACTGAAGACTGGAGTAATGATGCTGAAAATTCAGCTTTTCAGCACAGGAATAAATTAGATTTTAAAATATATTGAAATAGAAAACACTTATTTTAAATTGTAATAATATTTCTCTTTTATTTTATTTTTTACAGTTTTTACTGTATTTTTGATCAAATAAATAAATCTTACCAACAGTAGTGAACAGCAGTGTACTACCACCCATATTTACACATACATTACCCCTTCAAAAGGTACTAATATGTTCACTTTAGGTACTAATATGTACGATTTAGGGGTAAATAAGAGTACAAAGATGTACATTTTGGTTTTTGTACTGCTCTAGTGACAGATTACACCATTTTTTTCTGAGAGTGTAAATAAAGGCAACAGCTAGTATATATTTCAGACATCATTAAATATGCATTTCAAAGTTATGAATGCCTCCAGAAATGGCCCCGCATTACCTGCTGGGGTCTCTTTCTCAGTGAGAGCGTTGCGTATCTGTGTGAGGTAGACGACCATAGAGAGCTGGTCAATTTTCCCACAGGTGGTCATTTCACTGGCACGCATGACGGGAGTGATGCCAAACTCTCTCTCCATGAGGTCAAAGGCCAACTTATTGGTCCCAGTGATATTATATTCATCTAGACTAGACAAGTCACTGAAAGAGAGGATAGCATGCATATTATTTGCATACAGTTAAATGTATTATAAATGTATTTACAGTGTAGTCTATCTATCTATCTATCTATCTATCTATCTCTATCCATCCATCCATCTATCCATCTATATTCATCCATCCATCTATATTCATCCATCCATCTATATCCATCCATCCATCTATCCATCTATATCCATCCATCCATCCATCCATCTATATCCATCCATCCATCTATCTATATCTATATCTATCCCTCTATCCAACTATATCCATCATCCATATCTATCTATCTATCTATCTATCTATCTATCTAATTGTTCTATTATTCTGTTTGTCTGTCATTATTGTTCTATGGTCATCCATCCATCTATATCCATCCATCCATTCATCTATATCCATCCATCCATCCATCCATCCATCTATATCCATCCATCCATTCATCTATATCCATCCATCCATCCATCCATCCATCTATATCCATCCATCCATTCATCTATATCCATCCATCCATCCATCCATCCATCTATATCCATCCATCCATCTATCCATCTATATCCATCCATCCATCTATCTATATCTATATCTATCCCTCTATCCATCTATATCCATCATCCATATCTATCTATCTATCTATCTATCTATATCCATCCATCCATCTATCGATCTATCTATCTATCTATCTATCATCTCGCTCAAATCATCATTTGATAAAAAATACAGTAAAAACAGTAATATTGTAAAATCTTATTACAAATCGAAATGTTTTCTATTTGAATATATTTTAAATTGTAATTTATTCCTGTGATGGTAAATCTGAATTTTCAGCATCATTACTCCAGTAATGAAAACTAAGGAAGCCCATAACCGCCACTGAATAAAATCTTTTAAAAAGGCGACTTTTTATCTCACAATTATGACTTTTTTCCCTCGTAACTGCGAATTTACAACACACAATTCTGACTTTATATCACGCAACTGCAAATGTAAAAGTCGCAATTACCTTTTTTTATTTTTATTCAGTTGTGGAAACAAGCTTCCATTCGAGTTGAGGTGATATTTTTTTTCAGGATTCGATTAACAGATTTTTTTTAAATAGAAATATTTTATAACATCATAAATGTCTCTACTGTGACTTTTGATCAATTTAATACATCCTTGAATAAAAGTATTAATTTCTATGAAAACAATCTTATTGTCCTCCAAATTTTGAGCTGTAGTGTATCTAGCAAGAACTTTTCACAACAAAACTGAGCTCTGCATGTTTAAGAGTTACTAATATTCTTGTTCGCTGTTGGTTAAGGTGATCTTACATGAGTTCAGGTCTGAAGTTGTGGATGAGAGCGCAGAGAGCCATGCCGGACCTCCAGGACTCACTCAGGTCTTTCACCTTCACATGTTTGTACCCCGCTGTGTTCTTCTGACACCAGGACAGCAGATCCTCCAGACGCCTGAGAGACTCTAAACACAAATTCAGTTCATCATTTCACTGTAAACTCTGTGTTTCTCTGCATTTTCATACTATATACACTATAAAGACCAGTAGACTCACTTGCATGTATCAATAACAGGCTCTTTAAAAGGCCATGAAACACTAAAACTTTTGCTCTTTTTCAACAAACTTATGGTTAAACAAACAAACAAACAAACTAAATTAAAATGCTAAACACACTCAGTGTTTTAGAAGTTAAAGTGATACCTTATATATATGTGATACCATATTATATAGATACATAGATACAGTAACTGTTGTATGGCATTTACCTTTTTTAGGTTTAATTATTATGATGGGTTTCATCTGTTTCTTGGCTTTACAATCCTCTATGTCATACAGACGCTTGACCTTTAAATTGAACACAAACAGTCTTAAATAAAACCTCTATGATGATAAAAAAAACACTTCCATTGCTAGTTACATCAGGCAGCTTTTGCATGTGTGTAAGTGTGCGTCTAGGACTTTGTGTTTGACCTGTGTGGGTTTGATACAGGACAGGCTGACGTTCGGGTAACGTGTGGAAGGATCGATGCTGTAGGATGCGTAGTTCTTGCTGGTGTTTTCTGGAGTCGTTTGAGAGAGTAACTGATACATGCTCTCCCTGTAAAAGATATACACAGCATAACGCACTGCTGCATCATGTATGCATTTTATATTGTTTTATATCGTTACATACAGTTCGTAAGTTCAGTGTAGCTAAGATTTTAATGTTTTTTAAATAAGTACTTTATGCTTACCAAGGCTGCATTTATTACTAAAAATACAGTAAAAACATTAATAATGTAAAATATTATTACAAATTAAAATAACATTTTCAAATTTAATATATTTTAAAATGTATTTCTGTGATGCAAAGCTGAATTTTCAGCATCATTACTCCAGTCTTCAGTGTCACATGATCCTTCCGAAATCATTCTAATATGCTGATTTGCTGGCCAAGAAACATTTCTTATTATTATCAATGTTGAAAACATTTGTGCTGCTTCATATGTGTGGAAACCGTAATGCATTTTTTCAGGATAATTTGATAAATAGAAAATATGGAGAAAAAAAAACAGCATTTATTTGAAATAGAATTTGTTTATGTTATAAACAGTGTGAAAATGGTAAACTGTACCTCTCCGCCAACAACTCCAGGGGTAGCACACCTTTTCCCCAATTCCTGACCATCCACGCCGTGTCAAACGCAGCCAAGAAACCTCGAGCAATGCCAGTGCCCAGAGGCCAAAACGGCTGCAGAAAAAATTTTATAAAATTAAATAAAGAAACAAACAAAAAATGTATTTCTGTGATGCAAAGCTGAATTTTCAGCATCATTACTCCAGTCTTCAGTGTCACATGATCCTTCCGAAATCATTCTAATATGCTGATTTGCTGGCCAAGAAACATTTCTTATTATTATCAATGTTGAAAACATTTGTGCTGCTTCATATGTGTGGAAACCGTAATGCATTTTTTCAGGATAATTTGATAAATAGAAAATATGGAGAAAAAAAAACAGCATTTATTTGAAATAGAATTTGTTTATGTTATAAACAGTGTGAAAATGGTAAACTGTACCTCTCCGCCAACAACTCCAGGGGTAGCACACCTTTTCCCCAATTCCTGACCATCCACGCCGTGTCAAACGCAGCCAAGAAACCTCGAGCAATGCCAGTGCCCAGAGGCCAAAACGGCTGCAGAAAAAAATTAAAAAAAATTAAATAAAGAAACAAACAAACAAATAAATGAATAAAAATATGGCCAATATTTATATTTATTTTTGATGGCCAATTCACCGTTGTACTGTTTAAACAGTGTTTACAATAAAATTCTAATTTTATATAGAATGATCACACATTATAATGTACAAACAAAGACACAGTAGTACTTTTGAAAGCTCAGATTGAAAAATATAGTTCTGAAATAGTTCCAAAATAAGTCCTGATTGTATTTGCCTACATTATCAGTCTAATCGGCTGCCCTGTTTATTCGTACACTATACTCATAACCCACCTCTACTAGAGAGTCTCCCACCAATGCGATGAGCAGTCTCTTCCCCTTCCTCTCCTTCACCAGAGAGGCGTTCTCTGCCCTGTGCATGCAGGTGAAGTCAAACATGGCCACGTCCGGACGGCCCGCGTGGTTCTTGGCGAACTCCAGGTCCGGCAGCATGTGATCTGTGGAGAAGTCAGCGGCGTCGTATGCGTACTCCTGCAGGGCCTCCTGGTTGACGTTTGCAGGTGCGAGCAGCTGATTGACATCAGGAAAGTCCTGAGAACAAGAAACAAGAATGGCTTAATGTTAATCCTGTGACACTGAAGACTGGAGTAATGATGCTGAAAATTCAGCTTTGATCACAGGAATAAATTACATTTTACAATAAATTCAAATAGAAAACAGCTACTTTAACTTGTAATAATATTTCACAATATTACTGTTGTTATTTATTCCATTTGTACTCCACCTGAACTAAATATACAGGTTGCATTTCTAAGCGAACACAAATAGCAACTGTCTGCAGCTATTCCAGTGAGAATACAGTGACAAAAGAGGACAAGCATAGCTGTGAAGATTGATAAATGTGTTTGTAAGTGTAAATGCGAGCTGGAAACACGCCTGAAGTATCACCTCTGCTGATAAAAGCATGGCCTCTTTTCCAAGCGTTTCTAGGCTCTGTTCAACCTTTATATAAGATATTCTCAAAGCCTCAGCTCTTTGAACATGTTTCACTGTGTCGTACCTGCTTTATCACTCCTTTTTTTAACAAGCTCCCCTTTTTTGCAGTCATCACAAAATAGTGAGTATCATCTTTGTAGTAGACAATATTCTCTAGATCAACGCCTGGAAAACATAACAAATTACAGGGCAGAGATGAAGATGTGTGTAGGTTTACTTAGAACTATATTTTGGAGACAGCTAAATTGAACAAGGAGGAAAAAATGATTTCTTTTTGAATGAAAACAGTTGATGGTATATACTCAGTGAGATGAAGTAACTGTGAGTCTGTACCGATCTCAGACTGGAGCTCTTGGAAGAATTTCTGGTTGTATATTCGTGCCACGCCGCTGATCTCCTGCACCTGAGCCTCTTGTTTAGTGCGGCGGTTTACGAAGTTTGCAGTGATACCGATGGCCAACTTTCCCCTGAGCTCCTTTATCTTAAAACCTGAAGACACATGGGGAACAACAACAGTGGGAAAGGGTCAATAAAATAAAAACTTAAAAAAGAAATAATAAAATATTTAAATGGATTTAATTTAATAATAAAATAAAAGATTATCCAAGTCACTTTGTGCTAAATAAAAGTATTTAGTACAAAGTGACTTGGATAAGGTATGTTATTTTTTAATTACATTTAATTAATAATAAAATAAAATAAGCATTTCGTACAAAGTGACTTGGATAAAATAAAATAAAATTTGTAGTATAAACTCACCTTATAAATAAATAAATAGTACAAAATGACTTGAATAAGGAGTGTTTTTAGAACAAAAACTATTTTATTTTATTTATTTAAAAAAAAAAAGTTTTTCGTTCTACAAAATAAAATAAAATAAAATAAAATTTATTGTATAAACTCACCTTATAAATAAATAAATAAATAGTACAAAGTGACTTGGATAAGGAGGGTTTTTACAACATAAAAAATCAATAATTTTAAAGATAAAATTCAATTTCATAATAAAATAAAATATTTAAAGCTTTTAGTACAAAGTGACAAAGTAAATTTCATGGAATCCACTCATCTGTGTAAATGTTTCATTTACCATCAGGCGCATATCTTCCCCCTCCAGCTGAAATAAAAACATCAAACTCAAAAGCAGCAGCTGTGTGGGACCCAGGAGACACCTGTGCCCTCCATCCTGAGAGAAAGAATGAGAGAAAGAGATGAGACCAAAAGTTAAAGGACAAATGTCATTTTTCAACTACACGACCACAGATCTTTTCACTTTCTGTGACAACAACTAAAGCTGGTTTGTACCTGTGGATCCTGCTGGTTCAAGCAGACCTTCAAAGGTCACACCTGTGTGCACCTCGACCCCCAAAATCAGAGCCAGTTTCAGCAGAATCAACTGCAGCTGACGGATACCTAGAGAAACACAGACCTCATTATTACAGTACACCTCAATTAAAGTTATGCACATTTTCAGCAATAAGAAAAGAAGTTTCACTTTAACTATGATTTGTCTGTATTTACCGACTCAATACACATTCCTGGTCCTATTGTACACCATTCATTAGTGCACACTATTCTAAACAAATGTTTTCATAATCTTTCATCCAAATGTACAAACATGCGCTGCCTTTAAATCTGATATCCCGTAGGCCAGAAAATATATTAACCAGCAATATCATAGTTGAACATTTCACAATCCAATCAAATCTGGATACATTTAAGTCCTGCTACACATTGTTTTGTGTGTTGAATGACACTTCACTCAGAAATACTCTCAAATATTCAAAAGTTAGAGGTCAGAAAGATTTTTTTCAACAAGGAACGATAAAATTGATCAAAAATGACAGTAAAGACATTTATAATGTTACAAAAGATTTTTCTTTAAACAAACTTTAAAACATTTTTTATCAAAGAATCCTGGGATTAATCCCAGGAATAAATAACATTTTACAAAATATTCAAATTGAAAACAGTTATTTGAAATTGTGATAATATTTCACAATATTTCTGTTTTTACAGTATTTTTTAACAAATAAATGCAGCCTTGGTGAGCATAAGACACTTTCAAAAACACCTTTTATTTCTCAGATCCTCAGGTCTTTGAATGAATTTTGGAAGCAAAATTGGGTTGTGAATGTCATTCATGTTGACTGTAATTAATTTGGTAACAAAAAAACAGCAAAACATATAGATGCTCACTTATGTGATGAATGGATCCACTGCAGAATCTGCCATAGAATTTCTTTGCACCAAGGTTGAGAAGGTCTCGAATGGTGTACGGCCACAGGTGCAGGACGTTATTCCTCATGAAAGACACTCTTTTGTCCAGTACAACTACCTGAGCACCTAGTAGAGCCAATTCAATCGCTGTCCTGAGACCACATGGACCCGCACCCAACACTAAACACTAACACAGAGAAAGAGAGAGATTGCATACAGTACATACAGACTTTGGTTACATTTCCCAGCATTAAACAACTTTATAGATAGAAATCTCATTTATAAGGTCATTTTTGGTACCTTGTTTTGGTGACATGCCTGACCCTGTTCATAGTCCGGATGGGCGGCTCTCTTGTCGATCTTCTGCCAGAGGTCTTTGGCTTTCCAGTAGTTGAGTCTGTCCTTCAGTTTGCTGTAGAAGTGCTTGTAGTCCCTCGGCTTGACCTTCAGATGGCGACAGAGTTCGATGAAGTTCTGCTGTGTCTCTTTACACGTCTGCGCCTGGACAAAGCGGTCAAACAGAGCGTGGCTGGGATTGACAGAGTCTGGCTCGTTGGCCATTGTGACGGGAGAGGCCTGGAGCCTGCTAGATGAGCTGCAGAGACAAGAGAGAGAGTTTACCAAGGAATTTCAAACAAAAAGAGGGTTTCACTTAGGCATGGGCCGATTACCGGTTTCATGGCATACCGCGATTTGAAAATTTCACGGTTTCAAAACCACTAATATTTTCCGTTATACCGTTCCTGCGGTATGCGCTGATTTTCATGTCTCCTCAAAGACTGAAAGTGCAGGAATCCCTCAGGTTGAGTGCAGTGTAGAGTTTAACATGACCCTCCTCCTGTTGGTGCGAGCGGGCGGTCAGTCGTGTGTGTAGGATGGCGGAACTTAAGGACCTTCCCCTGGAACTTACGTTGCAATGCAATCATTTTCCAAAATGTAATTTATGTGAAAATATGAAGTCTGTAAACCCCCGTTAACACAGGCCAGAGACGCTGAAGACGGACGCACAGAGAAAAATACTGTAGCAGGCAGATCACTCACTGTTCATGATGCACGAACTATTGGAAGAAAATCCTCAATATTGATTTGGGGGTTTATATGAATGCGTTTCTGAGGGGAACTGACTGTCTTCAGAAAAGTTTACGTGGTATTTTCTTTTCATCTCGTCTCTGTATAGTTCATATTAAAGGAACACTCCACTATTTTTGAAAATAGGCTCATTTTTCAACTCCCCTAGAATTAAAACAATTGAGTTGTACCGTTTTTGAATCCATTCAGCTGATCTCTGGGTCTGGCGGTAGCACTTTTAGCTGTCAGACGACTTGGTACCTAAACGAAAAAGCACCGCATATGTTTGGAATTATTTTGGATTTCGACGTTCTGATGTACTTCAAAGGCAAGTACTTTGTAAAACCTGCCGAACGTCTGTGTCGACCTCGCGAGGCAACACAACCAACCTGTATCAGCACCTGCAGAAGTATCACAGACAAATCTATGATGAATGCATGGCCAAAAGGCCCACCGATGAACACACTTCGTCACAATCACCGCAACTGACATCCAAGCAAACTTCAATTGCCGTCTCGGTCTCTGTCACTTCTCTTCACAGACACATAAATAAAACAACCTGAATCTCAGCGAATACTTGCCTCAAAGACATGAGAAATATATGTATAGAAAGCCTGAAATGTCTACGTTTAAATTAACTAAGTCACGTCCAAAACAAATATTCTCTGTTAAAGTAATCCGTATGAAACATACGTGATGTCCAGTTTTCCCGTCTCAATTCATTATATCTAATGCGGTCACGCCCACGAGCTGATCGCGCTTTTCAGATTCTAAACATCCATGTGAGACGTGCGCGCATGCAAACGCCCACATCGCCTCCGCGTAAACAAACGTGAAGAGTTCATCCCGGCTACTTTTTGTTTCTGGAAGAAGACGTGCTGAGAGAAATAACCCAGAATTTACCTCACAACGCAATGCATCGCGCAGCTAGATCCAGTGGAGAATATCACTCTGATGTTAGACTTTTCTAATTCCTGACTACAATGTTGAAATCAAGTGAAACATTTTGAAATATGTGATATTTCATTGTCTAAATGTCTCACAACGCCAGAATGTTTAAAATGTTTTAACATATAAAACCACAAGATATAAAAGTAGTTTTTATATCTTGGGGAAAGTTGTGGCCTAATGGTTAGAGAGTCGGACTCATAACCCAAAGGTTGTGGGTTCGAGTCTCGTACCAGCAGGGATTGTAGGTGGGGAGAGTGAATGTACAGCGCTCTCTCCCACCTTCAATACCACGACTGAGGTGCCCCCAACTGCTCCCCGGGCGCCGCAGCAAAAAAATGGCTGCCCACTGCTCCGGGTGTGTGTTCACGGTTTGTGTGTGTTCACTGCTGTGTGTGTGCACTTTGGATGGGTAAATGCAGAGCACTAATTCCGAGTATGGGTCACCATACTTGGCCACACGTCACTTTCACTCACTCACTTAGTGCGAGTGTTAACACTATGAATGAATGTTTGACACAAAGGTGTGTTACTGTTGTAAGTCTCAAGTGTTCAGATGAGTATGTTCAATCATGTGTCCTTGACCATCACGGTGTATATTTTTATTATACTGTATTGCAAATAAAATACAAATAATAATCAAAAACCCACATTATTTTACTCTCCTCACACTCTTTCTTACCTGCCTCGGTTCAGTCACATTCATATTGATATGATATTCATATTATGATATTCATATTATGGGACGCCCTTTGTCTCTCAGGTGTGAATCACTAAATATTCATGGACATTGTCACTCCCTTGCATTAGGGCATTCTATCACAAAACATGTTTTACAAATGTTAAATCAATATATTGTTTTCTGTGAACGAGTGAACAGAATCATTTTTACATCATTTTGTAGCAAAAACTCTAGTC